TGCACCGCCGTGCGCAGCCCCGAAAGCCGCCTTCTCTTTCCTAAGGGAACACGGGTGGAGTTCAGCGCCCAGGTGACCTGAATTTCCTTCCCGATTCAGTGATTAAGTTAATTAATCGGATTTTGGCATCTTTGTAAGCAATTGTTGCTGACTTTTTTTTTTTTTTTTTTTTCCTTCTTTGGGTCGTAGTTGCTGTAGTTAAAAGGTAATGATGCGTTACGCTGCTCTTACAATTAGGTATTAGTGCAGTACTCAGAAACTCAACCCTACACAGTATACGGTATGTCAACAGCAAATTTGTAAGTATAATCACATCCTAACAAGCAGATTGACTGCCACTTGATGACAAATGTTACATTTGCAACTTTGCTTTTTTAGTTAAGTAATTAAGAAGGAGTTGCTTTTGAACTACTGTTTCTGTTTTCTCATACGGGCTGTTTATAGCAGCATAAGCTGGAGCCTTAGTCCTAAGTAAACAGATTCTTTACCCAGTGGTGCAGAAGCCCGCTGATTTCAGTGAGGGAAGACTTTGTGGAGGAAAAAAGTGAAAAATATTAACTCGGTTAGTGTTTTGCAAACAGAAAAGTCGGTGTAAAAAAGTTTATTAAAGAAAATTATGTCCTGAACTTGTAAATAAGTAGTTTAGTGCATGTCATTTTTGCTAAGACTCACTGAAACATATGATGCTGTGGTAGCTGGTTTGCTGTGGTAGCCAAGGGCTAAGAGTGTCACTCAGTACTTAGGAGTACTGAGATAATGACTCTTAATGAGTCATCTTTGTTTTACTCTCTATACTTCCTTTTCAATTAACTTAACAAAGTTTATTCATGCTATATATATATGCTGTGTTTTCAGTATATGTGTGTGTATGCATTGGTCTATCCTGCATAAAGCATATATGGCCTTTATCCCAAATTGTAAGAACTCCACAGAAACCTTATATGGTCCTTTGTTGACACTGATTTTCCTCTAGATGCATCATACTTTGCTTAATAATAACAGCTGGTATAAAGGAAATTTTGTTCTTAATCCAAAGTAGGAAAATTTTTTAACTTTAATTGCAAAGATTGTTGGTTTTTTCTGGTAGGCCAGTTTATTTCCTTTTTCCAAAGAAGTAAAAGTCATGCATCAGGGAAGCCTTGTTACTTTTAACCTTGTTTTATCTACTGTTACAGTAGTATGCATATTACTGCATATGTAGTGGGTAAACTGAGGAACATTGCTAGACATTGAATACGGTCCAAATTTCAGCTGTCAGTCATGTTTTATGGTTATGCCTGTGGAGTACACAGGATTTGTCATCTTAATCAGTTTCATGCCAAAAACTAGCTCAGTTTCTGTTGTAACGTAGAGATCACATGTAATTTTGATTGCCCAGTCCTTTTACAGTCTTCATATTCCCTGTGTAATAGGAAAGTGATTCGCAGTCCTTGCTGGATTTGTTCTGGCAGCTAAGGGAGTTACTGTCCTGTAACTGTGGGAGGGACTCCCATGTACTGCAGTTCAGTGTAACAGGCATCATAAATCAGCCATCAGTTTTCTTCTTTTGCCACCCTACATTATTGCACTTCAGTGGTTTGCTATGTTAAAAATTGATGAGTTGCCTCATCTCCCTTTTTTCCCACCTGTGAGTGAAGACCTTCAGCAGGGGATAAGGTTGGGCAGTTGAGAAAGGTAGTCTCTTTATTGCAGCCATTTTTTTTATTAGGAATTTAGCCCTTTCTTCAAGGGGGATAGGTTGAAAGATCAGCTAAAGTTTAAATGATGGTGGGGTCAGCTTTCGCTCTCTATTAGTTAACTTATAAAACACAAGTAATGAGATTTTTTTATCTCTACAGCACCCATGCATGGTGAGGAAACTTTATAGCATGGAGAAGGCAATTCAGTGTCAATGTTCTGC